CCAGCTATCAGTCTGGGGACCAAGAGCTCCCCATTGTTTAGGTCAGCTGTTTCTGTGGGTTTTACCAGCCTGGTCTGGACACCTTTGCCCAACACTCCTCCTTCTCTTCAACTGGATTCCAGTTCAGTTCAGTGATTAGTTGTGGGTGTCTGCTTCTACTTCCACCAGTTACTGGATGAAGTTTATAGGATGGCATATAAGTCAGTCATCAATCTCATTATCAGGGGAGGACATTTAAGGTAGCCTCTCCTCTGTTGCTTAGATTGTTAGTTGGTGTCATCTTTGTAGATCTCCAGACCTTTCCCTAGTGCCTGATTTCTCTGTAAACCTAAAATGTCTCCCTCTATTATGGTATCTCCTTTCTTGTTTTCTTCTATTCTGCCCCCGACTCAACCTTTCTGTTCCCTTATGTCCTCCTCGTCCCTCCTCGTCTCTAAAGAAAGAAAATAAAGAAGATACTAGAAAATGGAAGGATCTCCCATGTTCTTGGATAGGTAGGATCAACATAGTAAAAATGGCAATCTTGCCAAGAGCCATCTACAGATTCAATGCAATCCCCATCAAAATCCCAATGTAATTCTTCACAGACCTTTAAAAAAAATTCTCAACTTTATGTGGAAAAACAAAAGACCCAGGATAGCAAAAACAACCCTGTGCAATAAAGGAACTTCTGGAGGCATTACCATCCCTGACTTCAAGCTCTGTTACAGAGCTATAGTCCTGAAAACAGCTTGGTATTGGCACAAAAATGACAGGTAGACTAATGGAATAGAGTTGAAAACCCCGATATTGACCCACACACCTACGAACACTTGATTTTTGACAAAGAAGCTAAATTTATATGATGGAATAAAGAAAGCATCTTCAACAAATGGTGCTGGCATAACTGGATGCTGGAATGTAGAAGACAGCAGATAGATCCATGTCTGTCACCATGCACAAAACTTAACTCCAAATGGATCAAAGATCTCAGCATGCTTAAAACTCTTTATTGCTTTTCTGTATTTGCCTGTGTTCTTTATTATCTATACCCTTTGCTTGGAGGACCTTACCTATACTCGGGTCATTAACTGCCAGCATGAGATGGTAAGTCCTGCCTAAGAAAGGTAATGTGACACCTAACTACCTCCCTATGAAAATCCTAGTTCCTCCACTGCCAGTTTTGTGACTGTGGAGGAAATAATCTAGATTTTTCTTCAGAAAATCAAAATAGTAATGACATATACGTCTTACATTGTTGTTTCTATTACTGAGTGAGTTAGAATGTCTGTAAAGCACTTAAAATGCTGACTAGCAGGTAATAAAAATAATGAAAGTATTGATTGATGTTTCCTTTTTTCCACTTCATTTGATTGATGTTTTCCTTGTCACCTCTGTTGAGCTCCAGATTGACAGTTCTCTTCATTTGGAAACAATGTAGGTTATGTCTGACAAGTCTCAGGTAGTCCATTGAGATCTCGGGGATCTTCTCTGCCCAGTTAATACCCCTTCTTCACTTCCTTTGATTCCATTTCTGTCCGTCTGCAAATCATTCTCTGTGTTAGTTCTCATTACACACTGCTCAGCACTGAGGTCAGCACCATCTTTCCCATTGGATGTTTTCAGCACTTAAAAACATAAAGCCAGGCCTGTATTATATGCTTCTTGAGTAGTCATGTTTCTGAGTAAGTTACAAATTAATTTAATTCTCTTAGTTGGATTATTGTCTTCTGCTAAACTAGGTCCTGGCCACCAAGGTGATTTTGTACTAGTCTTTGTTTAAAACTTCTGATGGTTCTATAACAGTAAAACTTCACAAATTCAGCCTCTAGATGATCTCTTCCCCTTTTGTCATATGTCTGGCTCACTGGCAGCTTATTTACATGGGGCATATCCAGAAGGGTACCTGGTTGACAGATCCAGACTAGTGCCAGCCCTACCTGCACCTCATATATGGGAACACACATGAGCAAAGGGAGAGCAGTGAGCTCTTTGGTGATCTTGTGTTTTCAGGTTTTCCTCCTTATTTAATCTTAAATACAGCTTTTCACTGTTCATTATTATCCTTCCACAGTCTCTTCATGCTCTTCAACAGATCCTACTTAGGTTCTTTTGACGAGTGTTCCCTTAGCCAGAGATCACTGTTACTCTACTCTAATGTAGTGTGCTCCTCAATTTCATCTGACTATTTTCCAAAACATGGCTCTTTCCTACCTTTATTTCATACTTTTCCGTTTTGGTTTTTCTTTAAAATCTTAATAGCTACATTGATGATACAGAAAAATAGCTAATCACTCAGTTCTTTGGCTTTTATTCCATTGACTCATACTGGATCTTGTCAGAACTGAGAGTCATTGAGCCTACAAGACCTTAGACTCATTTTTTTTTCTTTTGACCAGTTAGTAAAATTATTCTCTTCTCAGTTAAATTATTCATTCACTTAACAGTTATTAAACACTATGCTAGGTCCTACAAATTCATTTCTTCCCCATTCTCCCACTTGTTTGAACCAAGAAAATTGGCCATTCTATAATTTTTTATATAGTAATGTTATCAACTATGGCCAGCAGATCAAATATGTCCCACAGCCTGTTTTCATAAATCAATTTTTAATGAAAGAGACATTCCTTGTTGTAATTTCTCTAATTCTTTGAACAACAGTGGCAGGGACCATATAGCTAGAGTGAAAATATTATCTGGTCCTTTACTGAGAAACTGTAACGACTACAGTTCTAAAGTTGATTTACTTTCATATTGCCATCAATGGATATCTTCTGAGCCTTCTAGATTTTTTTTAGCCCAATAGTTAAGGATATTATTCATGCTAGGGAATTTTTTTAAATAGCGACATATATCTTATAGAATATATAAGCATGATTCTAGCTTTTCAGAATAGCACTGAAAAGGGAAGTTTACTCAGTCTCAAAAAGTAAGGAACTGTGTTCTTTTTTGTCAGATTAGGCTACTATAACAAAAGACTCTAGCCTGGATGGTGTAAACACATTTAACTTTTATAGTTCTCTAGACTAGGAAGTTCAATCTTATTTTCTTGAATAAACATCCAGAAAATACAGAGTAACAGTTTCTAGCAAAACATCTTACTGTGTTATTAGACAAACAAACAGACAAACAAAAAAACTTAAATCTGGTAAAATTTACAAAGACTTTTTAAGGTAACTGCTTTGGACAAAATTGCAAATACCCAAAGGTTTCTTTGGTAAACAATGTTGAAAATGATTATAAAATGAGATATACAAAAATAAATGATGTGAAAGACAATTCAACTAATTTACTTATGTAATGTATCAAAGCTATAAAATAGAAAGGTTGCATTGAGGCATAGAAGCCATATGAAGAATTCTGAGCATTATGATATTATCAAAAAGAGCTGCCATTTGATCTTAAAGAATGTGGTTGGTGAATCCTCAGGTAATTCCATGAATAGAATTTCATCTTTAAACAAATGTCTGGAATCCATAATGCTATGCTACATTTATATATATAAATGTAGCGTGATGGAAACCTCAAGATCAATGTTTCTCAACCTGTGGGTTGCAACCCATTTAGGAGGTCAAATGACTCTTTTACAGGAGTCCCATAACAGATAGCCTGCATATCAGATGTTTATGTTATGATTCATAACAGTAGCAAAATGCAGTTATGAAGTAGCAATGGAAATAATTTTGTGGTTGGGAACCAGCATAACATGAAGAACTGTATTAAAGGGTCACACACACACCATTAGGAAGATTGAAAACCACTGCTCAAGATAAATGCATGCCTGATTGCAAGGGTTAAAATAAGAAGTAGAAATTAGAAAGAAATCCATAATTTTGGGTAACTAAAAATGAGAAAGAAATGGAGAAATCTAGGATTTAAGAATAATAGGTAGAGGTGTTGATTAGAAATGGGGAGACATTAAGAGATAGAGGCATTTAAATGGAGTTATATTTCTAAGATACTGTTAAAAGGACTTAAACCTAAGTAATAGCCATACAAAGAAGTTGTCAAAGGTAGAGAAGAATAATGAAGTAAATTCAGTTGAAAAAAGTCAAAGAAGTAGGCAGGCAAGTTAAGAAATGGGATGATCAACAATGTTGGATTCTGCTGCTGAAGAAAATAATGAAATGCAGACTTTAAAACCCCACCATGTTGTTTGAAAGTCTTTAGTGGTTTAGTGAAAAATTTTCTCTATATTCTGGAAACAAACTATACTTCATTGTAGCTTACAAAAGAAGTTGAATAAGAAGAAGATGAGGAGGTAAGGAAAACAATGGGGAGCTGCAGTGTAAGATTTTGTTTCAGGTGGCTTCTGTAAGAAAAAGATTTGAGGCTGAAAATGAAGTTGGTCATACCATGGTAGGAAGATGCTAATGGAAAGCGCAGATTGAAAGAAGAGGAAAGAATTGCACATCTGCTCAGAGGACAGTGGGATCAGGCGGGGTAGTGAATTGCTTTTGGACATGAATGACATATACATACCCTGTTGCAGATCATTTTTATAGGTAGAGGCAGAAAGGTGAAGGAACTCTTCATTCTTTTGTGTTGTGTTAAGGGAAGCAATCCAGTGAAGTGAATCTGAGAGGAGATACTAGCCTAAGAAAGAAACCATGCTTCTAGTTGTTGCTTGGGAAAATAAGAAAATTTTTAAATTTTTATTGGGGAGGGTGGTATACAATAACTTAACAATGTTTGAAGTAATCAAAAAGCTAGGAAGACTGCAAAATTGTGAGAAAAGACAGTTATAGAAAAGGAACTTGTTTAGAGTCAAATATAAAGTTGAGTTATCAAACAGCTGGAGATGGAAAATCAGACTAGTGCTTATATCATTATATTCTTTTTTCCCCTTCATTTTATGCAAGGTTTTTGTTAGAATGCTTTAAAATGTGGTTGGTTTATTTTAGATGATATCATAAGCTACCACAGACTACTTTTTTCACTTTTTTCCATTAACTATGAACATAGTTATATTTATCTTATTTTTATTAATAGATACCTCAATTCTTTATTATAGGTGCAGCTATTTACTTAATATCTTGTCATCATCATTAGTATTTTTTCTCCAGTTTCACTTAACATCATTTTATTTGGTAGTGCTTTATGTTTTATCTTTGAATCCTAGCTCATAACTTAATATCTAGCATGCTTTAGATAGTCAGTCAGTAAATTCTGGTTAATAAATTAATTGTAGAATTCCCAGGTTCTTTGTCTTTCATTCTTCCTGGAATCCTTTTATGTGTTTCTTTTTCTCAACTCTTAGTCTACTCATACCCCAATAATGCTTTCTCATCCTAAATTTCCTGAACTTACTATTTTATTCCTATGGTATCCTTTCTTTGATAGCCACACTGCTCTAAAAACTTTAAACAATCAGATAACTAATGTTAAGTAATACTGAACTAGTGACACACAGATAGTCTAGCTACTAAGAATGATGAAGTAGAATCTCATTAGCCCAGGAATTCAAAGCTAGTCCAGGCAATATATTTTGCTTCTTTAAAAAATTATTTGATAAAATGTATATTAGGAATTAATTTTAAAACTGAAGTAGTGAAAGAAAATACACATTAGTTATAATAGATTGGTTTATCTTGATGACCTTATTTTTCTACTAACTTGTCTTTGCCATTAAAGAACTTGGCTGATGATTATAATTTTTTTTACAAATATTTCAGATGTTCTAAGCAAAAATAAAGATGAAGAGCCAACTGTGAAAGAAGAAATTGAGGAAGACATAGAACCACCAGGTGTAATAGTAACAAGAATCAAAAGTGAAATTGACCAGGATCCTATAGCTACAGAAACCTTTGAACTTGTTGGTAGGTTAGATAAACAAAGAGGGATCTTCTTATGGGAAATACCACGTGAATCTTTGACCCAGGAACAGAAAATGTTCAGAGGGCATGCTAATGTTCGTAAGAGACCAAACTCAGAAGAGAAGTGTCATAAGTGTGAAGAATGTGGAAAGGGTTTTGCCCGCAAAGCCCATTTCATTCAGCATCAAAGGGTCCATACTGGGGAGAAACCTTTTCAGTGCAATGAGTGTGGGAAAAGCTTTAGTCGAAGTTCATTTGTTATTGAACATCAGAGAATTCACACTGGAGAACGGCCCTACGAGTGTAATTACTGTGGGAAAACCTTTAGTGTGAGCTCTACTCTTATTAGACATCAGAGAATCCACACCGGAGAAAGGCCTTACCAGTGTAATCAGTGTAAACAGAGCTTTAGCCAGAGAAGGAGCCTGGTTAAACATCAAAGGATTCACACAGGTGAGAAGCCCCATAAATGTAGTGACTGTGGAAAAGCCTTCAGCTGGAAATCACATCTTATTGAGCATCAGAGAACACACACTGGTGAGAAACCGTATCACTGTACCAAATGCAAGAAAAGTTTTAGTCGAAACTCATTGCTTGTTGAACACCAGAGAATTCATACTGGAGAAAGACCTCATAAATGTGGTGAATGTGGGAAAGCTTTTAGATTAAGTACATACCTCATACAACACCAAAAAATCCACACTGGTGAGAAGCCTTTTCTCTGTATTGAATGTGGAAAAAGCTTCAGTCGGAGCTCATTCCTTATTGAACATCAGAGGATCCATACTGGTGAACGTCCTTATCAGTGCAAAGAGTGCGGCAAGAGTTTCAGTCAGCTTTGCAACCTTACTCGTCATCAGAGAATTCACACAGGAGATAAACCCCACAAATGTGAGGAGTGTGGAAAAGCCTTCAGTAGAAGCTCAGGACTTATTCAGCATCAGAGAATACACATCAGGGAAAAGACTTCTCTGTACAACGAAACTAAGGAAAGTTTTGATCCTAATTGCAGTCTTGTTGTACAGCAGGAAGTCTGCCCAAAGGAAAAATCTTACAAATGCGATGAATGTGGGAAAACGTTTAGTGTTAGTGCTCATCTTGTACAACATCAAAGGACCCACACCGGTGAAAAGCCCTACCTGTGTACTGTCTGTGGGAAAAGCTTCAGTCGGAGCTCATTTCTTATTGAACATCAGAGGATTCACACTGGTGAGAGACCTTATTTGTGCAGACAGTGTGGCAAAAGTTTTAGCCAACTTTGTAATCTTATTCGACATCAGGGTGTTCACACTGGTAATAAACCCCATAAATGTGAGGAATGTGGGAAAGCCTTTAGCAGGAACTCAGGTCTTATTCAACACCAGAGAATACATACAGGAGAGAAACCTTACAGGTGTGAAAAATGTGACAAAAGTTTTAGTCAACAACGCAGCCTTGTCAACCATCAGAAGATCCATACAGAGGTGAAAAAACAAGAAATTTATGAATGTGATGCTTGTGGTGAAGCCTTTAACTGTCAGATTTCTCTAATTCAGCATCAAAAATTGCATATTATGTGGATGCAATAAAAATAGAGACACTCATATACCTGAGTTTGAGACTAGCTACCCAAGTGCAGTTTTAGTATGGCCCCAATGTGGGTCAAATTTACTGATAAAGCAATTTCTCATTGGCCTTCTTCAAGTAGTTCTAAAGGTCCTATGAATAGTGGACAGTGTCTGTGGGAGACTGAATTATGATTACTCTGTTTTCATAGCCACAGAGATTTATTGATTAAGCCTCTAACCTTTCAGTGGAGTTGACTTGGCAAAGCATAGGAGAAATGTTATGAAGGACCAAGTAATGTTAATACAAGGAAACTAGGAGCAACTGATGGAGAGCTGGAAATAATTCAGAAAGTCTGGTTACCATCACCTATAGTTGTCTTTCAGTTCCGATTAAACAGGTCAAACCCCAGTGATGAAGCAGATGTAATTTGTGAAAGTCCAGATATTTTCAAAGATATTTAGACAGTGTTTATCACTGTCTAAAAAGTTGTGTAGAAAATTAGTTTGTGAAAGGTGAGAGCTTCCCCAGCTTCCCAGGTTGATAAAATGAGTGAATCAAATTGTAAAGGTTTTTGTAGGTAATTAAACCAATAAAGGTGTTACCAAGCAATCTTTGGGAGACTCTCCCTGACCCCAAAATGGGACCCAAAAGATAGAAAGTTACTGATTTATTTTGTGCTGTCCCATCTGTGAAACCTGTTTGTAATACTGTATCAATATGTTTATTCCTGAATTATCAGGAACATGTGAAAGTGTACATATTTTGATTACTAAGAATTGGAAATAAAAAAGACCTAAAGTATATGCTAGAAAGCTGAGGTATTTTGGTATTGTTTAGGTTTTATGGTAGATTTGCAAGCAAGTTTTAAATACTTATTTCTTGATTCTACGTCCTTTTTTAGTTAATACTTATATACCTATTAACTTATATCTCTTAATCATTAATACATATATATCTATTAACTTATATATCATAATCATTAAAACCTATTTGGGTTTTTGCTTTGTGTTATTTGTTGCGTTAGAGTAATATCAGTCCTAATATAGTCCTAATATCAGTAGTTCTGAAAATCTGCATCAGAGGTTGGAAGGAAATTACTACTGTTCTCCCTGTGACTCATTTGCATTTTTCTGGAGTACTGTAACATAAGATTAAGTCTGGGTTCTTCAGTATCTGAGATTAGAGTTCTAAGTCATCATAACCCTGACCCACACCCTATTAATTTGAGCATGTGGCCTTTTTCCTATATACCACTGTGTTAGTTAGGGTTTCTGTTGCTGTGATGAAACCTCATGACCAGAAAGCAAGGTAGACACGGGGTTATTTGGCTTATATTTCCACATCGCTATTCATCACTAAAGGAAGACAGCACAGGATCCTGGAGGCGGGAGCTGATGCAAATGCCATGGAGGGGTCCTGCTTACTGGTTTGCTTCCCTAGGCTTGCTCAACCTGCTTCTAGAACCCAAAACCACCAGCTCAGGGATGGCATCATGGACAATGACCTGGGCCCTCCCCCATTGATCACTAATTGAGAAAATGCTTTATTGCTTGATTTCATGGGCTTCTTCCTCTCTGATGACTAGCTTGTATGGACCTGACTCTCATGACAACATAGAGACCAAAAGATTATAGCATGAGGCTCTTGTCAAGGCCCTTCCTGGAGGATCCAGTGTTGAGAATAGTTCATAATCCAGAGTTCTAAAGGACACTCTCAGGAAGTCAGTGTCTATGGACATGTGCCCAGCAGCATGCCTCAGGGCTTTACCTCTGCCTTATATGTAATCAAAATCATGCATGCCACAAAAACCAAGATCCAGAAGCCTCAGTGGCAATCTAAGAGAGAAAGAGAAACCAGAGTTAGTGATACAGATTGCTTAGACTGCCAGAGTAACAGAGTAAGCCACTCTTACATAGTGAGATCTAGGCCACCTAGGGCTCCATAAATAAATAGAAAGAAAGAAAGAAAGAAAGAAAGAAAGAAAGAAAGAGGAAGGAAAAACCCCTGGGTGGTTTGCAAAGTGACGACAGTCATAATAATAAACACGTTTTTGGTCGTAAGACTTCAGTACCACAGCATGGGTTGACTGTAGAAGCAAAACTGAAGACATAGTAAGTCACTGCTCATCAAGAGATGGCTTGTGGGCTGGGAAACAAGCCACTTAGAAAGTGAGTCCTGTCCCACAGCTGAGTCTCTGGCCAAATCCCACATCTGCAGAGAAATCTTTTGTAAGAGGTGACTCTACTCTCAGCTTGACTGTGGTCCTACATTTTAGATAATTTTGCAAAGCCAAGTTCTTATATGAATACTCATGCACACATACATGTCCATAGCCATGCATGTTAGTCAATGCCCAGACCCATCCCCTAAGGAAAATAAAAGGATAAATGTGGATGAATGTGAAGAGATGGATAATGAGGGGATGTCTCACATTTAATTGGATAGGCTAAGACACCCCAAGACCCACTGTCTTCAAGATAGAGGCCCAGGAAAGTCAGTAGCATAGTCCAACCCAAACTTAATATCCAGAAGCCAGCCTGAGTCCAAAGCTCTAAGAAGTAGGAATGACCAGAGCTTGGTGTCTCAGCCGAATCAGACAGTAAATTGGACTTTCTTCACTATGCTTCATCCAGCCCTTAGTAGACAGGATGGTACCCACCACACTGGTGAGGACGGACCTTTACCCAATTTTCCAGTATATTACTAACTCTTTAGGGACAAGCCTCTCAAGTATGTCCAGAAACATTTTTTTAACCATATATCTGGGTATCTCTTATTCTGGTCAACTTGACAACTAGAATTACCTGTCACATGTATACATAAAGTATTTATGTGTGCAAATGATTTTCATGGGTACAAATACCTCAGATTGGATTGGGAAACTACAAACACCAATGTGCTTTGAATTTGCATCTTTAGAAAATTCTGTTGGAGCTGTAGACATGAATCATCATGGTGGCAAATGTAGTTTGGATGGCTGGATCATGCCACTCTCATTTCCCTGAGTCCTTTCAATTTTAATGTTGGAGTGATTTAAAATGGGGGTTGGGGAGATGGAGATCCACCAGCATAGTTTCAAGAGTGGACCATAATTTTTGAAAAACACATTTTGGGGCAGATGGTGGTGGTGGTGGTCCATGCTTTTAATCCTAGCACTTGAGAGTCAGAGGCTGGTATATTTCTGTGAGTTTGAGGCCAGCCTGGTCTACAAAGTGAGTTCTAGGACAACTAAGGCTACATTTTGACTTATTTTAGCAAGTAGCTAAGAGTACTTGTTTCTCTTGCAGAGCAGCCAAGTTCAGTTCCCAGAACCCAGGTCAGGGAGCTCACATCACATATAATTCCAGTTCAAGGAAATCTGACACTCTTCTGGCCTCCACAGGCACCACACATGCAAACGCCTACACACATGCACATAAATTCAAATTCTTTACAGTTCTGTCTTGAGGGAAGGGTGGAGATAGCTCAGTTGATAAGAGTGTTTGCATAGCATGCTTAATACCATGGAAGAAATCTCTAGCACTGAATCAACAGGGCACATGATGGCACATGCCTATAGTACCAACACTTGGGAGGACTGAGGTCCAAGGTCACCTTTAACTACATGAGATAGAGACCAATCTGGTCTACATGAAAGTAAACCAGGACAGCCACTAACAGATTCTGAGGGAAATGCAGTGGCATAGTGTCCTGTTGCACACCCACTGGTGATCACACCAGACTCCAATGGATAGTTTCAAATCCATGGTAACTTTAAAAGTCCTACAGTCTTTATAAATTCAAACACATTCAAACTTCATTCCTTTAAAATATCCAATCTCTTTTAAAATCCAAAGTCCAGTAAAATGTGTTCTTCCAGGGGGAGAAATTGAGATAGTCACAATCTAAACCAAGCAAAACCAAATTCCAACAGTATAAATAACTCAATGTCCAATTATCTGGGATTCACTCACAATCTTCTAGATTCCTCCAAAGGGCTTGGGTCATTCTCCAGCCCTGCCCTCTGCAACACATACAGCTTGTCTTCTAGGCTCTGGCTGGCTCCACGCCACTGTAGCTATTGTTCTTATGATCATCCTATGGTACTGGCATCTCCAAAACTCTGGGGTTCCTTGCTGCAGCTGGGCTGCACTTTAACCAGTAGCCTCTCATAGGCTCTTTTCACAGTGCCAAGCCTCAACTTCTTTGCATGACCCCTTCAGTCCTGGGCTTTCAACTGCTACTGAGGCTGCACCTTCACCAATGGCCTTTCCTGGCCTCTCACAGTGCCAAGCCACAGCTGCTCTCCATTACTCCTTCATGCCGTCAAAACCAGCACCATCTAGGTGACAATTACAACCTTACCAAGTCCTGCGACCAATACAAGGTACAACCTTAGCTGCCTCCTAAACACAACTTCTATGAGCTCTCAGGAAACATTTCCCAGAAGATTTCATCTCAGTGATGCTAGTCTCTTCTGGATCACCACTAATTTCTCAGCTCCAGCTGACCAGTATCAAGTATCCCAGCAAAGCAAACTTTGAATCAATACCCCACTCCTGGTATCAACATGGGTTCTCTAGAGTCACAGAACTTATGGAATGAATCTCTCTCTCTCTCTCTCTCTCTCTCACACACACACACACACACACATATATATCAGAAATATAGTAGTTGCTCAGTCCCATGAGGCTGGGTGTCTCAACTGGTCTTCTATAGATGCTAGGATTCCAAAGAAGTTGACTCCAATGCCGGAGAAGGAAAGGATGTGCTGACAAGGTGAGGGCAAGCAGGCAAAGAACAAAGGCTTCCTTCTTTCATTGTTTTTTTTCAGGCTTCAGCAGAAGGTGTGGCCCAGATTATAGGTGTGACTTTGTGCCTCAAGATCCAGATTACAGGCATGTGTCATCCTACCTCAAAATCTGGATCAAAAGCCTTCGTCTTCCAGCCTCAAGATCCAAATCAAGGCATGTTGTCTTCCTGCCTTAAGATCCAGATCACAAGTGTGCCCTCCACTTCTGGATTGTAGTTCATTCCAGATATAGTCAAGTTGACAACCAAAAATAGCCATCAAAACCACCCATTCTACCATTCATTTTCAAGCTTCCTTCTAGCTTCAAATACTATGTGTGTTCACATAAATGTTGAGACTGTATGTATGGTAATATATCTACATTGCCTTGTTACATTGTACTATCTGTTGTTACATTGTCACTATACAGTTATGAATTTCAAAACTGTATTTGTTAATTAATTCAGCCTGTCAGATGACTTAGCTGATAAAGGCTTTGCTACCTAGGACCTGACTTCCTGATGAAAGGAGAGAACAACTGCACTTTGTTCTCTGACTTCCACATTTCCACTTAGCAGCCATATAATCTCAAACACAAAATAATCTTTAAAACTGCCCTACTCATTAAACTGCACTTGTCCTACATCTTGCCAGTTTATTTTTTACCAATGGTTCCTAGGTCAAGGTCTCACCTAATGATGCATCATCTTAGAACTCCTCTCAATCTTTTAAAACACCTTAATGCAGTGTGTTTTCAATGAAAGCATAAATAAGCTAACCTATTCTAGGGATAAGCCCATAATTCTTTATCCTCATTCCTTAAAGACCATGTGTTTCCAAAATCAGATCTTTCCAGATTTTATTACATAACTCTCCATAGGGGCTTGGCAGGGCCTCAAACACATTAATATATTTATTGCAGCAATGACGACAGACAACCTCAAGTCCATTTTGCCACCAAGTAATATCCTGCTAACTTATATTAAACTCAAGGTTTTCAGAACTTTTTTATTTTAGAACTATGAATAATGGATTGTGAGCCTATT